GAGAGAGATAGAGAGAGAGAGGGAACCTCATCATAGATCTTCCTCAGGAAGGTGATCTCCTCCTGAAGCCTCTTGATGCGTCTCTCCAGGCTCAGACTATTCACAGTGGCAGTGTCCCGTTCCTGCAACAGTTTGGTAAATCAATTAATGAACTAGTAAAACAAAATAAATAGGTCCAGCAAATAATATGATACCCACATAACCCATTTTAATTCAGAGATCTTAAGGTCAGAGGTCAGGGACACTTTTTTTCCATTGCCAAAATTCAGCCTAAATTTGGAGCGTTATTTAGCGTTATTTATTTTACAGCCTCTGAAATATGGTGCGAAGTGGATGAGGGAAGGATAATGGCGTGACACTTGAGGTGGCTAGTCAGTTTTCAGGGGTGGCCAGGCCCCTCATCTGGAAACAACCCTGACTACAAAAGTTGTTGATTTGTGGATTAGATTCAGGTTTATAAAAGAGTGAACTTTATTTTATTATTGATTACCGACCTCATATGACTCTGATACTAAGTGAAAACTTTATGGAATCAAATCAAACCAATCTGCTGGTTGCTATGTCCTCATCATTTATAGGTTTAACATGGTCAGTCTCTCAGACAAATAGTAAAGCTAATACACTCACCACCCTTAAACCCTCCAGTCTTTTTTCTGCTTCCTTTTTTTGGTCGATCTCTTCCTGCAGTCTGGGGATGTGAGCAACAATTATAGAATAAATTATCATTATTCATTCATTGATTACCATCAGGGCTATACACTATAATTGTATAAATAAGGGTTCTAAAAGGGTTCCTCCTCAAGAGCTGAGGTTCATTTTGAAGAACCTTTTTTTGAAGAAAGGGATCCTCAAGGGTTATTCGTAAGATCACAGGTTCCATTAAGAACCATTTTCATCCAAAGAACCATTTTTTAAGAAAAAGTTCTTCAAGGATTTTTGAAAGCATGGGTATTAAAAGATTGTTACCCTCACATATTGAAATATTTAGCCATGTTTGATTTTTTTTTTTTAAATGACTATGTATCTGGAATCCTCCTAATCAATTCCTTTTACTTGTGTTCTGCCATAGTTCATCACCATCAATGCCATACACCAACACAAACATAATAAATCTTGTCTTAAGAAATGTGACAGCACAAAAATGTTACCATCATAAGCCACTCTGAACAGACACATTGCAAACACCGACAAAAACAAACTTAAACTACTCAGTCCAGCACTAGGGCATGACTGTATCGACCACAACAAACTCCAACCCAGCACTGTGTGCGGAGATAGGTCTGACTACGCCACATTGATCACATTCACGCCCATAGTAATTATTATTAATTACAGATAGAATGAGATGGATGAGAATTGCGGTGATTTCACAGATCGCTTTTGTTGGTAGTGTGGAACTACATTGCCTCCCAGTAAATGGATCTAAAAATGAACATTGTGCCTAATGGTCCCTTCTTACACAAATCTGAGTAAACCCTTCTTGTATCTCATACTTACACCATGCTCCCTCTTAAAATGCTTAGTGACTCTTGCCTTATGAAAGACAAAATAATGCCAATAAGACACTTCCTCTTGTGCTGCAGTTTATGCTGTGATGGCTACAGCGAGAACCACACCATGTGAGTTTCATTGTTCTTTGCAATTGACTTCACTATAAACCAGGCGATCTTTCTGTTTAAGCATTTGAGAATATGTCTCTCACTGCCTCTTCCTCTTTTTTTCTAACCACCATGGAAAAATCTTTTTTTTTTTTACTGTAAAAGGAAGGAAGCATATTTCCAGTGTTGACACATGGCCAGTGCAACACAGTTAAGTAGCATGTTTTTGCTGTGGTTTTCTGTCCCTTTTTGTTAATTATTAATAATTATTAACAATTATTTGGTTAAACATCTGAACAGAACTGCATTAGACAAAAGTCCACAACACATTTATGGTTGTAATAAAAGCTCACGTAATACCAGATCTTACTGTAATCCTCTCTCGCAGTGAACAGACGCTCATTTTATTTATTTAAGCTGGAAAAGCTTCTTTGAATCAAAATGCACCAAAAAAGAAAGATGAAAAGATCAAAGTCCGCTGCACCTTTAATGCTGCAGAACATCAACCTCTGGACCAAAATCCTTAAAAAGGAGATAAAAGCTCAATTTATATTTTATTGTCAGTGCAAACTCTTTAGTCCCTGTAAAGGATCTTCCAGTGATGGCAGTAACTGTCTTCTCTCTGAATCTGTATAAAAGTGGCACTGTGCCATGTAAACCACAGACAGAGAAACTCCAAGCTGTTTTTTTTAACAAAAAATATGTTAAATGTGATGTCTGTTGTGCTTTTTGCATTAAATCTGAAGTAGTTATAAAGATCCTCTGTGAATGTGGAAAGTTTCTCAGTGCTCGTTGAGGGTTTGATTTTTAAGGGGTGGGGCCAGTGAGCATGATGAACACCCACCTGTCTTTGAGCTTTTCCACTTCACTCTCCCGCTCCACCTCAATGCGTGACATCTGATGGGTCAGGTCGTCCAACTGCATTTTCAGCTGGCTCATCTCCTCCTCGTACAGGTCTTTGATGAGTGTCGGCCTGCCACCACGCAGTTGCTCCACCTCCCCCTCTAGCACCTGGTTCTGCTGCTCCAGGAAGCGGACCTTCTCGATGTAGTTGGCGAAGCGGTCGTTCAGCTGCTTCAGCACTGCTTTCTCATTGGTCCGCGTGGTCAGGAACTCCTGGTTAAGGGCTTCGACCTCGCTGATTCCCAGCATCTGGGCCCCACTGCGGTCAGAGCGCCGAGGACGGAAGGCCATGTTGGAGGAAAAGGACGACCTATCTATGTAGCTCCACTGAGTACAAAAAACACAGATATCATTCAGTCTTATGGAGAAATGAGCCGACCTCTCACTTGATGTATGAGCTCATTAAACAGTTTCCTGATGGCTTTCTGCGTCTCAGTCTCTAGTTTCAGTCTTCTTCCCATACAGCATGATGTTCATTTAGTAATCTGCGATGGTCCCATTTAGGCTAACAGCACCATAAAGCAGGGGATGCTTTAGGCGGGGCTACCTTGTGATTGACACTCAACGCACTAAACTTCAGATCAAACTGCTCAAAACAGTGTGATCAGATTGGATCCAGATTTCTGTGTGACTATTTATCTCCCAAATGCGTTTCAGAAACATATTTTAGCTAATTTGTTTTTTTATTATGTTTTCCAGACAATAAAAAAGAATCGGTACTCACGGAGAGTGTTAAACTCGTCAAACAATGATGCTGGGAGGTCTGCTAGTACATTCATTCAACTCACCAAAACATATGTGATGGAGACTTTAGGATAACTCATCGTTATGTGTTTTAACAATAATGAAAAAAGGTTAGTATTTAATTCAGTCTCTACTCTTCTTATTTGATAAATTATAATACAAAAAAAATTCCCATTTTGAAATTTAACCAGCTGAAAATGATTTACAGTTATTGAGAGTTATCTCTCAGACTGGAGTTCAGTAAAAGTCTAAACATTTCCGTCACCCTCTGTCTCTTTTCGTCCAGTTTATCCTCACCTGGTGAAGTGCTGAGATGTGTGCAAGTCTTCTTCCCTTCTGACTGGAGCTGCTAGTCTGATGATCTGCAAGGCTGCAATTTTACTTATATCCTGTCAGATACTTACTGACACCTCCCTGCATGCCTCCAGGCATGACAGCAACCATTTGTAACGTGTGAGAATAGTCTACTGTTCTTAGAAATGCAGTATTCCTCAGCTGTCAGATACTCCCCTCACATGGCACGCTTCCAGATCTGACAACCACTTCAAGAATGTAGATCATTTTGTCCTGTAAGGAACAGGGAAATAACGATCAGGTAATTCTGCTTCCTTTTCAGAAAGTGGGCTTAAAATGCACTGACTGCATTCTTTATACATAAATCCCCCTTTATGAACACTGGCCTGAGTTACACAATCTCAAAACAGCAAAACATTCAATAATCCAAAGTAAAATATGAATCTTCACAATTCATGTGAGTTTAATAATCCTTTACAAACAAATGAAAAGAAGCTATATCTTTCTAGGGTGTTTATAGCTTCAACTACTGCACCACAAGTTACAAACAGGTCACAGCTGCACAGAAACAACCGGTAGAAGTGTACCTTATACTACTTTATTCTTTTATAGTTCTACTTTTATCTGAGTCAACGTGAGTAAAGAATGTGTGTATTTTTGCCTCCTCTGCTGAACACACACATTCAATTTTTAAACGCATGTATGGTGTAGAAAGAAATTAGAAACACACATGTAGCTGATTTAGGCCTATTAAAATGGTGGAAGTGGCAAAAATTAATGCTGACAAAACGTTCAAAATGTTTTCTACTAGTGCTGATTACTAGAAGTAGACTTAAGAGTAGGAAAAACATGTTGCACACTGTGGCTCCAAATGCATTTCTCTTTTATCCAGATGATGATGTTTTGGCCATCTTCAATATCAACAATCATAGTAAGATGAAGTTACTAGTGTGTTCAGTGGGCCATACCCTAGTTACATTACACATAAAAGAAGGCTAAAGGTTCACAGGTCTTTGGTTTTATGTGGTTTCCCCCAGTTAGAACTAGTTTTCCTTGTTGCATTTAGTTTCCGCCTAAAGCTGCATAGCTTGTGGCTTTGCAGTGCCTCTCAGTTGTTCCCTGTTGGGGGTAGCATAGCAGGTTAATCTGTACCTCACCCATGTTTGTGCAGTTTGATTGACATCAAACACATTCCTGTGATGACAACCTTCCCTGCCTCCTTCACAGTGTCTGTCCTGCAGTCATTTGACTTTCCAAAAACTAGAAGCAATCAAAATGTGACCCATCATCTCAATATATCTGACAGAAATGCTGTGCAGTCCCACACAAAGTGGGACACCTGGTCAACCTCCTAAGTGCTAATTCATCCCATTCATTTAATGGGAGTAGTGTGTAGCGGGGCTGCAGGGGAAGCCTAAAAAAAACGCAGTAACGCTCAAACTGCTGTCAGTCTGAAATGTCACTGGAACAGGCACTAAAATCAGTGAAAAAAGATAAATAAAGCATTACTTTCTGATTGGTTCACTGCTTCCAGTACCTTCAGGCTTGTTGAACTGGGGTGGTTCTTTGTATTTGTATTTTGAGGTTTTTCAGCAATGTTTTAGAGATAATTTTAGCTGTAAACATTCACACCGCATTTTCACCAGGATGTGCATTTTATAGTTAAACAGATGAATGTCATCCCTGTAGGCCAGTAACTTTTAATAAAAAAAGAATTATGACTATGGTTATTAAAGCATGTGTTTCTATGGGCCTGTATACAATGTGTGCGAGTCATCTTTTAACTCAGGGACATAAAGACATCAATCAGCTGTAACATGAAATCACTTTTATTAGGAAATAATGTTTGAAAGTAACAAGGATTATCTCTCCTGATTCCCTCCTCACTCTCTCTCGTATTTTCAACCTCGCACTACCTCTTTCCTCGTATCTTCTTCTCCAGACACCTTTAATCTCGTCCTCCATCTCCTCCTTTTTGTCTTGTATTGCGTTCCCTTTATTGAATGAAAGCCAGCAGCAGGAGCACAGTTCACCTGATTGCTCTTTAAATGTCCCGATTGACTTGGCAGACGCAGTACCAGTAAAGTGCTCGTGTATATTGGAGCGAAACCAAATAAGACACCTACTGCAGAAATGGCATATTTCATGCGGATTTGGATCCGTCTGTACACTTTTTGTGGTAGAAAATGAGTCCCAGAAGCAGAGCATTTGCTCGGTCGATGTAAAAAGATTTTCTGTGACATTTAACTTTAATTGAGGAGCAGGAAGCGTTTGCACCAGCAGAGTATTTTATTCAGGAGGTTGATGAATTGCTTTTGTGTCCTCTTTCAGGTGCAAAAATGCTGTAATTATTTAAAAAAATCTTTATCTTATCAAGTCATCTTTATCTGTTATTGTTTCCTGTTTATGATTCTTTTTACTTCTTCAAAGACAAAAAAAAGGATTTTTAGGCATCAATTCAACACAGAAATGATTCTGTTAGATGGAGATTTCTTGTTATGCTGTAAATAAACCCTGATAAAGTTAATGATAAATGCCACCTTGCTTTTCTCACAGTAACTTTAAAACAAGAACAGTACAGGCCGCAATCATGAGTTTGTAAAGTCTTTTTACTTTTACTTTTACTAGTTGTGTTTGCACATCTTTTCTTTCTTTGTTTCTTCATCTGTCCCACTCAGGGAGGGACAGATGTGTTTCTTTTCTTCCTTCACACGCGGTTACATGATGTCTTGCTGGTGCTGCGTCGACTCGCTGACAACCTGGAGGGCAGAAACACGGCATTTAGGAGATGCTCAAAGATATCAAGGGCTGAGAACCAGACTTTTGACCAACTTTACATTGAGAGCCAAAACAGATAATAACCATACTTTGTCCTGACTTTGTTCATTAAATTCAAAATTCAATCTCTGAACATGTGGGTGAGAGTACTTAAAAATATATTTTTCTATCTTTTAAGTGCACTTTTAGCCCCAAATAGTTTTTTGGTTTTTGATTAATAACTATTTTTTTCCCAAAATGTCACTTATGCCTCTCTGGTTCTCATCCCTCAATATAAAAATACACTTAAAGAAAGATAAAGACACAGTGGGCTAATAAATGCCGGTGCTGTCCTAATTCTGTACCTAATACTGTTACTGTGTACAATATAAACCCATTAGTTAGGACCAGAAAGATTAAATTAGTCAAAACGTGACAACTGGAGTGGTTTAAAATCCACTACGAACCCTAAATCCTTTTTTTGGACTTTTTTTTATTACAGATTTTCTTCATGAGGTTGTTTTGTTGATTAGAAGAGAGAAAAGGAAGATAGAATTTATTATTCTTGATGGTGGAAAATTGAGTTGCTTCTCGGAGTTTTACCTCTCCATCGCGGGTTTCGATGGTCTTGATGAGGACGGTTTTCTTTGAATGCATCTCAGAGGAGCGCTGCTGGTGCTCGGGACTGGTCTCTGTTTAAACACAGCAAGAAAATAAAATCATCACCATCACAGTAGCTGATAATCTGTTTTTAAACAGATTCTGGCCAAAATAATGTGATACAGCATGCAGTTATATTAATTAAAGTTATACTTTTACGATTTTAAAATCCCCATAAAATATAATATTGTAGGGTTAGGGTTAGTTCGTACCTCGGAAGCTCAGGGTGGAGTAGCTCTGCACAGGCAAGGTAATCCTGCAAAGACATGATGCAAAATATGTTTTATATCTATAATAAACTCATTTAACTTGATTTGGATAAAATATATATTTTTTCTGTCCTTTAAAATGTGACTGTAACTCAATTATAACCTGAAGCATTATGGACAAACTTTCTTCACCTTCTACCAACAGAATTTAATATCAAAACCCTTTTTATAGACAGAATTGTTCTGAATAAAGACAAAAATCTGTCTAGTCTGCAGCTTTGGATTCAATCTCTATAGTTTCAGTTAATCCCACTTGGACTTCGTTGACTGGACTCCAACATCACCTGCTCTCCTCCCCTTCCAGCAGCTTCCTGTAGGTGGCGATCTCCACATCCAGCGCCATCTTGACATTGAGCAGGTCCTGGTACTCGCGGAGGTGGCGCGCCATCTCGTCCTTCATGTTGGCGATTTCCGCCTCCAGCCGGGCGATGTTATCCTGGAAGCGGCCGGCCTCGACCCCGTGGCGGTCCTCCATGTCTCTCATCTGCCTCATCAGGGACTCATTCTGGATGTTTCAATGAGACGAGTCTGGTGAGAAACAGAGCACGAGGTACGGCTGGAATGTAAAATAATTACGTGTGTGAGACGTACGGTGCCTTTGAGCGAGTCAATCTCGCAGGTGTAGGACTGGATCTGGTGTCTAAACTCCATGGTCTCCTGCCGGGCCTGCTTCAGCGCCTCGTTGTTCTTACTCACTGCCTGGTTCAGGTCGGTTACCTGAGGAGACAAAGGTCCAAAGGTCAGAGCTAATGACTTGATACAGGGAATATTAACCAATTATTTCTAATCAACTGTGAAGCCAAACAGTACTGCTAACTCATTAGCATTACGGGTACAGCAATCAAAACCAGCTATTTAGTTAACCCAACAAGAAACAACTAAGATCTAAATAATAACTTCAGAGTGTAGAGTCTGACATCATCAACATATGTAGATGGATGTCTCAGCTTCCTGCCGCTGTACATAAATGTGCAAAAATATCCCTGATACGGCTGCAAATTTATTTGATGTGTGGCGTTTATTTTTTCCCATCTGCCAGCATGAAGAGTTAGTAGTTAGTAAGTGAAAATATTTTACATCAACCTTTAAAACCCACCCTGTAATGATAAGTTTCTCGGACTGTCTCACCTTTGACTTGTACCAGTCCTCAGCCTCGGCGATGTTCTTGGCGGCGATGCCCTCGTACTGGGCTCTAATGTCTCTCAGCGCTGCCGTCAGGTCCGGCTTGGACATGTCCATCTGGATCTGCACCTGAGTCTCCTGCATCTGCGCCTGCAGCTCGCGGATCTCCTGCAGGCAGAGGAGGAGGAAGAGGGAGGTCAGGTGAGAGCTGATGCAGCGGGAGGGTGTCTTTGATGCTACTCCATGGTACCAATGGATGCACTAACCCATCTAGTTTCATGTGATACCAGTATATTCACTTAGCTTTTAAACAGAGTCCACTATAGCCTCTGAAAGACAGTGCAAAGTGGATGGAGGTAAGGATAATGGGGTGGCCAATCAGATTTCAGGGGTGACCAGCCAGTGCCACCCCAGCCACCCCCTCTAGAAACACCTGTGATCATCACAACTAAATGCCTAACCCCAACACACTCACTCACATCTAAGCTTACAAGTGTCTGCTGTTCAGAGACGTGGACGTCCGCTGTCGGTACAGTAGGTAGAGTAACTTTAGCCGTACATCTGCTGTGGGAGATTTGGTGCTTTGCTGCCAAAAAACAGGCTTTGTGTGTGAAACTCTATACTTCCCCAATCCTCTTGTCTGTCATCTCACACACACACACACACACACACACACACACACAGACGTAACAACAGATGTAACAACAGATGTTAAGAGACAGACAGACAGATTGGCCAAATACAGCACAGTCACACAGAATACAAACAACAGACAGGAAGGAGTCATATCCAACTCTTTGAAATGTAGTTTCATCCTTAATAATCTTGAGGCAACGGTTTGCTTTGAAGTTTCTCTGTGCAGAATTTGAAACACGTATCAAAAGATAAAATACAGTCCTAGAGATCCCCGTCTGATAAAATTTCTATACTGACTACAGACTGCCAGATTAATAGTTTAGAGCGTGAAACCTATGAATCAAGTAACTTCTAGTCAATTAAATAATAGTGTTATTAAAATATTCCCTATTTTCCTGGGGACCCCCTCAACCCCAGTTGACTGTGTCGGGACCCCCACTAGTAGTCGCCAAAACTTCACAGCGAGTCACAAGGCTTTCTTGATTTGAAGGGGTGTAGTAAGAATTTTAAAATATACACACTAGGCCTATATCTCAGTATTTGAGTCACTGTTATTTGAAAGATATTATTTAATATCTAACCTTTGACACAAGATAAACAGCCTCATCCTGAAAACACAGAATCTGTCCAAAAGAAGCCTATTAAGTCTGTAAGATTGTTAAAAATGATTTAAAATAATCAAATTATTTATATCAATAATAAAATAATCTGCTCAACATTCATCCAAACTGCTCTTTTTACACAAACTTCCAGCAGTTATTGTGTTCACTGTTTGGGTTCATTGTACAGTTTATAAGCTGTTTTCTACTGAAACTGAAATTTCATGTACTGAAAATAACATGAAATATCTATAAAATATGTCACTCAGTCAGGGGTCGTCAGTTTACTCAGTGATAGAAAAGGGCCCCCTTGAGGAAAAATGTTGGGAGCCACTGAAATAGATTGTCACATTATTTTTCACCTCTATTTCAAATCAATCATTTGTGCCCCAAAATGATTAAATAACTATTCGCACAGTATCCATCTGTGACCATGATGTTCTAAAGATCCTTGAACCTGGGTTTTCTTTTTTTTTGAAGCATCGAGAAACAAACAAAGAGACAGAAAAAGAAGAAGGGAGAGAGAGCGAGAGAGAACCTCTTCATGGATCTTCTTCAGGAAGGCGATCTCCTCCTGAAGCGTCTCGATGCGTCTCTCCAGGTCCAGACGGGCCAGAGTGGCAGCGTCCACATCCTGCAACAGTTTGGTAAATCAACTTATGAACTGGTAAAAAAAAATTAGTTTGTAAATATATATATAACGAGTTACTTCAATTTAAACTGTTTGAGGAAATGGCTCGCATGAAAGATATTTGATTTTAATAAGAAGTAACTCTTTTAGTTCTGAAAGTATTTATCGTTAAACAAACTTAACTTAAGTTAATTTAATTCCATTCAGTTAATTGAAGTTAAACTAAAACTTAAGTTGAATTTTCTTAGTTTTCTTCCACTAAAGCAAATTATTTCGTCAAAACAACTGACGTATTACAAAACAATTTATAATTAATTGATCATCAAAATGGTAGCCAATTATTATTGTGTTTTTTTCATGTGACAAACATCAAATCTTTACACTTTAGCCGATTATTAAGAATTATTTGGATGTATACATGGGCTAATGATGATTAATAAACTGAAATAAAAACAACAATTGAAAAATCCTAAGCTATACAGCATTATAATGCTTACACTGTTATAATGATAAGTCCACTTCAAGAAAATTAGTAAGTGGAACAAACTTAAAATACTGCACACATTTAAATTCACTCATTTATTATTTTAAACTCTAAAAATATATCCTTTATGTCCTCATCATTTATACATGTTACATGTTCAAGCTCGTTCTACAGAATAATAGTTTAATACTTTGACAGGAGCACTCACCGCCCTGAAAGCAGCCAGGTTGTTTTCTGCGTCCTCTTTTTGGAGGATCTCTTCCTGGAGTCTAAGGGAGGAGTACATTCACATAGTTTAAGTTGTATTGAGTTGAGTTTGTATTTTCTTCTAATCTTTTAAGGAAATCCACAATAAGCTCAAAACTCTTAGTGAAGTCTCTAATTTCCTTATAATTACTACCAAATTATTTTTTTCTGGAAACTTTACAGGCGTGTTCAGCGTCATTTATTTATTTTTGGTCAAATTTAAATATACTCAGTCTAAAAATAGCTATTATCTTAAAAAAAATACCCACTGTGTGTATGTTTTTTTCAAACATTTTTATGTTTCGGAAAAGGATTCTGTTAAAGAGAACTGCAAAAGACAAAAAAACAACAACACATTTATGGTTGTAATAAATATCATGTAATACCAGATGTTATTGTAATCCTCCAACTTGTTTTATTTAAGCCAGAACAGCATCTTTTAATCAAAATGCACCAAAACAGAAAGAGATGAAAGGACTAGTAAACCCCTGTAAAAGGAGCTTCCAGTGATGATTTAAAGTTGCAGTAGCCCTGTCTTCTCTCTAAAAGCGGCACTTGAGATGTAAACCACAGACAGAGAAAGGACAGATCATTAGAGATCCTTCAGATATGTGGAAGCTCTTTCCTCTCCTTTTATAGAAGAGGGCTGTGTAAACACGGTGTGTGTGTGTGTGTGTGTGTGTGTGTGTGTGTGTGTGTGTGTGTGTGATGAGCTCTAACTTTGGTCAGACTGGGGCAGTAGTCAATCATTTTAATAGTTAAACAGAGATTATGAAGCCAATATGTTTGACTTTATCAACAGTTTGTGTTAATATCTTATTTTGGATTTGTGGTAGAATGAAGTACATCTACTCAAGAACTGTAATTAAAGCTGCAGTTGGTAACTTATATTTTCTGAAACTTTCACTATATCCTGACAGTAGTATGAGATGGATGATCTGTGAGAAAATCCTCCAACTCCTCCCAGTGCTCCTATAATGGCCATTTGCAAGAATCCATTGGGCCCAAACAAAAGCAACCAATCAGAGCTGAGAAAGAGTTGATTGTTGAGTCCATCGACATATGCAATCCGACCCATACGCCTGGGCGACTCAATCGCGAGCAGGGCTCAGCTGTCAATTATGACATGAAACCCTCTTTTTATAGCTTCAACTTCGACTGATTAATGCAGGAATCATTGCGTGCCCGGTCCAAAGTGAAGCTCATTGTCAGGTCTAAATTTAAGCTGTGGCACGCAGCTGTATTTATAGCTGCAGTCGGTGTAAGCTTTATCATCATCAGTCTATTTTAAATGCAATTCTTCACAAGATTCTTCACTGGCCCAATACTGTTGCATTTTAATCTGAATGCACCGTAAACAGGATAATGGATCATTTGAACTTTTTACAAAAATATTAAAGTTGTTCTATACCCTACTCCAACTAAATCTAGCATTAAACCTCACACAAATATAATTGTTTTGTAATAGTATTTGTAATATTGTGAGTATTTCCTGGTATAGGATGTGACTTCACCATCGTTGCTTCCAACACCTCCAAGCTTCTTGTTTTTAACAGAAATATGTTAAATGTGATATCTGTTGTGGTCTTTGCATAAAATCTCAAGTTTATATGTTGAGTAGTTATAATGATCCTCTGCTTAGAGGCAAAACAACAACAAAACAGCATTTTATCACCTCAAAAATGGAGCTGAAGTCAGGAATCTTGTTAAAAGAAATAATGCCAATATGTCTAGCAAAATTGACCACTGCAATGGACTTCTGATAGGACTTCTTTAAAAGACAATCAGGCATTATGTGTCCCACAAAGCAAAACTTAAGAGCTGAATGTGTAAAGTTTTAGTTTGATGAGGAAATAGCCAACAGCAGCCCCCCAACATGTGTGTTCACTCTAAGTTATTCAGTGCCCCTATTGTCACCACTTAAATAAATGCATCGTTGCAGGACAAAACTTCCAATTTATTGATTTGGATATACCTATATATTCTGACGAACTCAAAAACTTGTGTTTATGATACCAGTTATTTAGTAAGTGGTAATTAAAAATACATTTGATTGTAGAGGGAAAAAAAGGGTGTTTTTAGAGTGCATCTTAATCCCTTGTCTTTAACTGTGATGTAAAGTATTGTAGTAAAATCATGTCTGCTCCTTTAAGAACAAGCCCACTCTCGAGGGTTTAAAGATACTTCCTGTAACCACAACAAACAGCAGATAACGTGAGACTCCCACACGGGTGATTAAGTGGCGCAGACGTGATGTTACACACACATCATCACCCACCTCTCCATCTACACACACACCGCACACACACACACACACCTCTTCTTAAAGAGACACACACGCCGTCTCGCCCCGCCCACCTGAGTTTGAGCTTGTCCAGGTCGTCGGCTAGGTTGTCCCGCTCCACCTCGACGCGTGACCTCTGATTGGTCAGGATCTCCACCTGCCTCCTCAGCTCGCTCATCTCCTCCTCGTACAGGTCGGCGATGCGTGTCGGCTCACGCCCACGCAGTCGCTCCACCTCCACCGCCAGCACCTGGTTCTGCTGCTCCAGGAAGCGGACCTTCTCGATGTAGCTGGCGAAGCGGTCGTTCAGGTGCTGCAGCTCTACCTTCTCATTGGTCCGCGTGGTCAAGAACTCCTGGTTGAGGGCGTCGGCCAGGCTGAAGTCCAGCGTCTCGCCCATGCCGGCGTAAGAGCGCCCGACTGAAGCCCGGGAAGCCAACAGGGGCTTGCCGTAGTAGCCGGAGGAGACCCGGTAGGCTGGTGTCGCGCTGCTCCGGGTCACCTCGTAGACCCTGGAGGAGACGTGAGCCCCACCGCCAGCACCATGGCCCTGCAGCGAGCGGTTGAGGGAGGGCGAGGCGTAGGTGCCGTGGCCGAAGTGGCGGCGGTAGGAGGAGGCGGTTTGGGCTGAGGAGCTGTAGGAGGCCATGTTGGAGGACGAGGAGAGCCTGGTGAGGGCTGCAGCAGACGGGAGCACTGAGGAAAGACTTGCTGCCCTTGGCTATTTGTAGTTACCCCTCCCTCGGTTTTTACCCCGTCCTCACTCTAAACTGCCCTCCCTGTGTCTCTCTAGGTCTCTCTCTATCTTCTCTCTCTTTTCTCCATTTGTTTTTTCTGCCTCTCTCTGTCACCTTCCCACCCTCCCTCCTCCTCTTCTCCATATTCTCTCTCTCCCTTCCTCCCCCTCACCTTCTCCCTCCACCCCTTCATTCTTTATGTCTCGCTCCCTCTTTCTCTTTGTCTCTCTGACACTTTCTCATGTTTCCTTTTAATTTATTTAGCATCAAATCACCTCTGTCACTCACATCTGTGATGCTGAAAATGAAACCTGACTTACACAGATTAATGTCCCATACACATTAGATGTTAACCCTTTAGGTCCTACCTGACATTTTGTGGCAGTAAAGCTGGATAACGATGAAAGAAAACAGAACAACTTGTAACTTTAATAAGGTAAAATAACCAGAATCACAAAGACAGAAGTAGTGTTATTTGCCACAGAACAAAAATGGCCTGCGTTGCTTCAGGTTTATTTTATCTATACAGTCTTGACAATCACAAGGAACACCACAAAATAAGTAAAGTGCAAATCAGTAAGTTGTGAATGGCAGCAAAAGTGAAGCTCAGTTTTTTTGTACCAGGCTGAAAACTTTATTTCTGTTGTAAAGGTGGGCATTTTAATATGGGACCTTATGGAGACTGACTCACTGTTGGAGCCAGCCTCTAGTGGCCGTTAGAGGAACTGCAGTTTTAGTTACTTCTACTTCTGGCTTCATTTGCAGGTTTTTGCTTGGTGTCTCACTGAAATGAATGAGGGGGGCTGTTTATTTCATGCAGCGCTAACGTCAGGGTGGATGGACTGATCAGCAAAGTGGGTGATAGTCCTGTTTCCTACCACGACCACAATCTTTCCTTAACAATAACCAAGTAGTTTTTGTAACCAAATCTTAACCACAGAGACGTTAGATGAGTGAGGTTGTTTCAGGAGGTGACGATAAACGACCTATCTACTCATTTAGTTTAGAAGACTTGTTGAATCACACGGCCTCATGAGAAAATCCTCTCCCTCCGTGTCTGTGATCTCACGGCATAACGATGTGAGGATGCAAGGAGAGACGGTGGCTTTCAAAACTCTGCGACGTCCTCACATGGCGAAGCGGCGCAGGTTGTTAATGACGGCAATCGTGGGAGAAGAGCCTTGACTAACCTGCCTTAAAAAGGAAAACTATCCCAGAGACGGAGAGGTACAGCTTGTGCCTGCAGACGCTCCCAGAGCAGGAGAAAGCCCACATTCCCAAACAATATGTGCCATTAATGATGATATCATTAGAGTGTGTGACAGTGAAATGGATTTAAAGGGAGGTTTCCTTCTGCCAGCAGACACTTTGGAGTCATATTGGAAATGTTTTCACTTTAAAGTCTGCAGTCCTCCACATTCAGAACTCAGTGTTTGTTCTTGTTCCTACAGTGTGATGTTTGAATAATGGTCTGTGCAGAGTTTGACCTCTAGAAGGATGTTTTCACATTCATCTGTGCTCATTGAACATCTGATTTTAAGGGGCGGGGCCTACGAGCATGATTTGTGAGATCAAAAATAGTTCAGGAAGTCAATCCTGGTCGAGTATGCAACTTATTCAGTGAGATCCACCAGTGCACACACACTGAGAATGAACGTTACAGTGAAGTAAGTGCAATATCCAAACCACAGAAGCTGAAATGTTTTGATATAAAAGTGTGTGACAAGTTAGTTCAACTCAAACTGTTTGAAGAAACAGTTTATTAACTCAACTATTAAGCTTGTGAGATATTTGATTTGAGTAGAAGTAAGTATTTATTGTACTGTATTGTAACTTGGGTAAGTTAAGTTAAATTTAATTCCCTTCAGTTATTCAGTAACATAATTTATCTGAATACAGTAACTTAAATGCATCTTTATACAAATATTAGCACTTAAGTTGAATTTACTCAGTTTTCTTTCACTAAAGCAAATTATTACATCAAAACAACTGACGTAATTCATAATCAATTGATTATTAGAATGGTAGCCAATTAATTGTCTTGTGTCTCTAACATTAAATCTTTAGGTAATCATCAGGAATTATTTGAATGCATTCTTTGGCTAATGATGATTAATAAACATAACATAAAATGAAAAATCCTAAGCTATACAGCATTATAATGCTGCTAGTTTTATATTGATATAAAGTCAACTTCAAGAAAATTAGTCAGTGGGACAAACTGGAATTATATCGCCTGTATTTCAAATACTAAACACATTTAAGTTCACTTAAAACAACTGAGTTGCTTTAACAATTAATTTTTAATTAATTCATGTGAATAAGTGACTCCAATGTTAACTTATTTATTTTATGTGTTGACCTAACCTACAAATCTTGTTCTTTAGAAGTAAGACAACATGTTTGTTCGGTACAGACCCCAACAAATGTCACACCATCATGATTTCAATTATTGTTTTCATTAAAAATATGTAATGTAATGCAATATTAGCATATTGTGCAGCCCTAGTTGTTACCTTATAGATTCTGACTGTGATTTAATTCATGAAACAAGACATGGTGGTCTCTGCAGGTGCTAGGAGGAAAAACAAAAAGTTCATGGTTCCCATATAGTTAGACCCTATTCCTGGTATTGTACTGCAACCATTAAAGTATTATAAATACAGCACAACAGCAACAGTATTTGGACAAATTCCTGTATGATAAAATTATGTTAAACAGTGCAGCAGAGCCTGTTGCTCTCACGTCTATTAATAGACGATGATGTGTGTGTGTGTTTTCATCCCCCTGGGCTTCCTCAAGAGCAGGGGAGACGCTGTGAGCTGACAGCTGATATAAACATCTCTTCATCGTTTTCTGACTCTCCTCCTCTCAATCTCCCCCTCCTCCCTCCTCCCTCCTCCCTCATCGTTCAGGACTATATAAGGCCGGTCCCTGCGGTGATAGAGTGATAAATGGCTGCAAGGGGTGGGGGGGTGTCTGGTGAGAGTAAACTAACATGAGTGAGTCAGAAAGAGAGACAGGGAGGGAGAGGACACTAACATGAATACATTTTGTCACATCAGAAAGAGCGAGAGAGAGAGAGGTGAAGTCAAAATAAAAGCATAATATGGCCTTAATTCAACATTCATCACTGCTATCAGGAAAATGTCAACATTACATACAGTTATGTTTTGGGCATTGAGTCTGTCCAAAGTCACACTCAAAATCATAAGCAGTCCAAATACAGACTGTATGGGGATAAAAGAATACATTTGCTAAGGTCGGTCTAAAGTGTCTTTTTAATAAAATATCAGGATATCTTTTCCCCTGTTTTTTTTCCTTTTATATTTATATCCATATATGCTTTTGTATTTTACCTCACTATTTTGAAAAACATTAAATCCTGGGAAAGCAAGGACTAAAGAGGGGTAAGTTTAAGTAGAGTAAGTTTCTACAGTTTTCTACTTCTCTTTAAGAAGAACTTGCAGGTTTCTTGCTCAAACTACTTGAGCATGTTTGGTACCTTAAATCTAAATTTCAGCCCCAGTCTGGATGCAATCACTCCAAGCCCTCTGCTCAGTGGAGAGCCTTAAATGTTTTTTTTCTGCACTGTGACAAACAGAAAAATAACTCTATAATTAAATTTACTATAATTAAAATACAGTTTTTAGCTTTAATTGTACATAAAATTGTTATCTTTAATGTTAAATTAAAAATGTTAACACTGTTAAACCAATGCAATGTGCTATAAATACAGGCGAACTCAGGCTTAAATTAACAGCAGAGTGCTGTTATTATTGGATTTTTCTTTAAAAGTAATTATTGTTGTTTTCACTGATAAAAACTGTATTTTGACACTGATAAAAAACATAGATTCAACGTTTTCCCCATAATTATACAAGATATCTGTCAACCCTGAAAAACCCTGTAAACTTACAGATGTTTTCTTATTTATTTATAGTTTTAAGTTTAAGTTTAAGTTTAAAGTTTAAAAGAATGTTTTTCAGCCTGTTATTATATCAGATGTCTTTATTACTTTAAAGAAAAGCTTTAAATGAAAGAAGTGAATAGGTTGTGTTTGTTGTGTCTTCTGTGTCTGAACTTTATCTGTGGCAGTTCAGTAAGAATCGAGTTGTAATCTGTTATTTAGAGCATTATGTACTGTTTATTATTGCATTAGGGTCATTATAGGAGGTGGAGGAAGACACAGTAAGAGAGAGAAACTGGTGGGAAGAATCATAATTGGAGAAAGTGCCATCAAACTGTCTCTGGCTCCTCCAGTTTCCCCTGGTTGAGAGAGACGAGCTTCCTTTAACTTTCTTTAATTCTGTAGAAGCACAGCAACATTTCCTCCCCTTATGCACTGCAGCTATGGCCCTGAGAGCTGACTATAATCACAGATTCACACATAGACTCTATTGATCCAGGAAAAAGCATGTGACTTGAATATACATGATTAAAAACAGACATTAAAGCAATAATTTCAAATAAAATCTGTGAAAAAACGAACGTGTGTAGTTACACCGCCTGGCCGCTGGGTGTCACTGTGGCGCAGTGTCTGAAAACAGCGACTGCTTCTTTCTCTCGCTGCTGTCAGCTAATCTGCGTCTTCCTGTTGTTGCTGTCTCGTCTTCTCGGAGTGTCAAAGTGCACTTAATGCAGGTAAGGGCCATACTAATGCAGGTGCGTGTCATACAGGTGAGTGTTAAGGCGGCTGTGTGCGCAGGTGTTGCTCCCTCACTGTTTGACTTTGGCCGGCAGACGAAGGGGAGCGAAGAAGAACAAGCACGCCCGAGCAACGGCTAGCTAAGCAGCGGTGCGTCATTTATCGGACAGGTGTGTTTTTTACGCGATAATGTTCAGTTTTATTTATAAAGTGTGCGGACACTTTGACTCTTTACGACTTCGATGCCATTTATTCCCTTGTTTGTTTGTATTTCTGCCCTATCGGATAGAAAAGAGAGAAAAGGGCTGAAACGTCGCAGTCAGTGTCCGATGTTTGAACCTCCACTAA